ATTCAAAATAAATACTGTACAAACACAAATGGCAGAACATTGATGGATTGGTCGCCTTTTCTCGTCGTGAGGTCAGTTGGGGCACATTCGGGATCGACATGCGCTTGGTGAAAGGCATTTTCGCTAGGCACGCACTGCTAACTCAAGTTCACACCACAGACGTTTCCAAAGAGGTCGTGTTGAGGACGGTATGGACGAAGTTCGTTTTTGGCGGCTGAGTGTTGCCCATAGTCTCGCGCAGTTCAATCTCCTCCAAGCTGCCTGTCGCTTTGTTCCGTGACTTGCTTTCCTCCTCGCCGTCGTTGGCGAACATCGCCTGCCTGGCCAGGAACTTGGCCTTGTTTATACGGTCCGTTATGTGCTCTGGTGGCTTCGACAGGAAGAACTTGCACACCAACTGTGCGATGAAGAAAAACAAAACGAAAACAATGAATACAGACAAACGGACTATGGTGATCTCGCGCCATTCGATCGTCGACTGGTACGTGTCTTTGTAATAACAGACCTGTGAAGTGTTCGGGAAGTAGTCGTGGTACCCGGTCCACAGTGTCGTGTTGAAAGGTATCAGTGTGAACTGCACGTAGGACTTTCTCTTGTATTTTGAAAAGTACAAGTACATGAAGCGCGGTATCGACTCGCTGGTGAAGGCCAGCGTCGCCGCATTGGACATGATTGCCAGTTTCAGGATGATATCCAAGCAGTAATGCCAGATCTCAATCCCGGACACTCGCAGTGGAATGGATCTTCGATACGAAGCGGTGAAATTGATTGCATCCAACCGAATCTCTACTATGTTGTTCAAAAAACAAATAAGGGGGGACAGAGGAAATAACGAAACAAACAGCGTCGCGTAGCCGAACTGCACCATCATCTCCAAGTACTCTGCATATACGCCATCCAAATCAGGCTCGTTCAGCAAAAAGTCCTTCTGCCACTGCGGAAGAGATCTTGTCGCTAATCGAGCGTCGTCTGGGCTGACTTCTGATCTTCCGAAACGTCTTCCTGAAAAAAAAATATAAATGACGTTTCTGTAAAACAAACATATCTCAGACGGTTTAATTATTTAGTTAATTCATTTGGTGCATGATCGCTAGACCAGCACTCATTTTCATCAAGGCACTCATTAGCTGTTTCAGGGCTATGGCCTGATAAGTACTCCTTTAACATACACAACAATGAAATTACTGCACAGAGGCATGATGTCGCACTGATTTCTCCCCGAGTTTTAGCCATGCCATGATTTGATTATTATTTAGACTGATTTAATACATTTTACATCGTTTAATATGCGTTCGTTTTCGCTATGGGTTTGTTGGGACTGATGAACTGTAATGGCTACCAAATAGGCTAAAGTCAGTGAAATCAACAATAAATTATCAGCATTTACATGGCAGAATGAAGAACTGCTATTCCTTGTGCTTACGATCACACATTTAGAATTTTTGGGGTCGCTGTTTCATTTTTGCTTGCTGTTACAGGGGATAGCCACGAAAGATTTTCTCATCAGGAGATCGTGCTGTCCACGGTTGCCAGGTATCTTGATAGGACATCTGTTTATTCAAAATGAGCAGACAATATTTCTGCCAAACAAATGATAGTTTTAAGCAGGTGTAATTATTACAGTATGTGGAGGGAACGAGAAACTGGGAGACAAGGTCGAACCAAAGGTTTTGGTTGTACTTTTCGATTCGTGGCAGACAATTACGGCAGATTTAATTCCCGTTGCTTGTTTAATTTTAAGGTTAACGTTGCCTGTGATGTTTTAAGCTTATAGAGCATGCTGTAAGGTACTAAAACAACTCTTCCTTTAAAGTGAAAAGATATTTTTTTCAAACTCAAATATTATTCTGTTCCATCAATCGCAGCATATGCAGTTTTTGACATTCAAGTAGTATATCTATGATATTACCACATTTTTCAGTGAAAAGATGCGCGTCCGAATGTGAAACAG